GGGGCTAGCATATATATATATATGTACACATAGATGCATACATACATATCATATATATATATATATACACACACATACACCACATGACGTATGAAAAATGAATACGAGCAGATGTCTGTGTATATGTATATATATAGACATCCATTATCTATATGTCTTTGGGTATAATTCTTATTACTATCTAAAACTCTGAGTATGTGTACAAGCTCGACCACGTCACTGCCCTGTGCATTCCGTGTTCCGTATGGATGACGAGCGGTTTTGGGGCTGCAACTTGCATGAATATCTACTTTTTCCATACAACCCTTTTATCGCGCGTGTCAGTCCATCAATCTCTCGGTCTATCTATCTCTCTATCTATATATCCGTATAAGTTGCAAATTTGATGTATCTATATATATATATACAAATGTATGACACATAAGCAAATAAACGAATCAACATGTGCATAAATAGACAAATAAATAGATACATCAATATGTATATATGTATGTATGTATGTATGCATGCATGTATGTATATGTATGTGTATATATATATATACGCATATGTATGTATATATGTATATAGATCTCTCTGTCTATATGTGTAGAGGATTGTAACTGTATAAGAGTATAAGTATACGCCTCGCGGATAACCCAAACATGAACCGGCCTGAAGAGAAGACTCAAGCCGGGCTTTCCACGCAAGGCCTCAGTTGGCTAAGCCACGCAACGCTGAAGCCGAAGGTCAGCAGAGCAAGAGGCCTTAATACTTAGAATTGGGTTTTGGGGCCCCATATATTGTAACTATGTTAGGGTTCAGGGTCCGCTTCTAGGTTTAGGATCTACGGTCCTCTTTTAGGTTTCGGGTTTAGGATTTAGGGTTTGGTGTCCTGTTTCAGTTTGGGGTTTAGGGCTTTGGGTTTCGTGGTAAGGATTTCTATCTTGGCGCGAGTTAACGCACACTCGCTGCTTGCATATATCGCCGTGGGAAATCGATATTCCAAGGGCGACCCGACTTCAAACCGCCCTAAACCTGAAACCCCCAAAACCCTCAAACCCGAAACCCTAGAGAAGCCCCCCAATCCCCTATAACCCCTACACCCCTACACCCCTAAACCCCCAAATCCTGAAATCCCTGAAATCCCTGAAACCTTCCATTTTCCTCTCCGAGAGACCTGGCGCTTCTCCTGCAAATGCTCGGCTTCATCCTGAGCCTGGCCATGAGAGGTGGGGCTTTAGGGGCTTAGGGTGTACGGCTTTAGGGATTTAGGGGTTTAGGGTTTGGGGCTTTAGGGTTTAGGCCTTTTAGGCGTTTGGGGGCTTAGGCTTTGGGGGTTTAGGGCCCATGAGAGGTGCAGATTCGGAGGATAAAGGGTTACAGGGTGTGAGGTTTAGGGGCTTTAGGGTTTAGGGCTTTTGGGTTTGGGGCTTTAGGGTGTAAGGCTTTACGGGCTTAGGGTGTAGGGCTTTAGGGGTTGAAGGGTTTAGGGCTTTAGGGGTTAAAGGGTTGTAGGGTGCAAGGTCTATAGTCTATAGGGTTTAGGGAGGGGATAAGGGTTATCGTGTTTAAGGTTCAGGGTTTTGTAGGATTTAAGGTTTGAGCTTCTGGCTTGAGTGCTTCAGGCTTTACGACTGTTTTTGGTTTCGGAATCGCTACAAAGGTTCCATCTGAATTCATTTCGGGGGTTGCGGAGTTCAGGGACTAGCACTGCAATAAGGTAAAATGAGAAGACGACTGGAAGACTGCACCAGGACCCCAACCACAGACCACTCCAAGACGACCAGCGCAAAACTCTACGGCACCGCGGATCAGCATGATCTGGCTCTGCCATGACTTCAAACATTTCGACCCTTTCGATGGAAACATGAGACCAAAGAATTCGGCCTTCCTCGCAAACGCGGCCAGAGAGGGACTGCGAAAAACATGCAAATCCATGTACTTTGAACGGGAGAACCCCAAAGAATTGCCAAGCTGTTTGGGGAAACATGTTCTACCCTTACGGACTTACATACATCTGTCGCCATGAAACCTGAATCCTGAGCCCGGACGTCCAAACCCTAAACAACTTTGAACCAACCCTTGTATGAACCTTCCCCAGCCTCTGCCAAATGTGAGAGGGCTGGTGGCAGCGAGTGGGCGAAGGACCATCTTCGCCAAGTCCTTGCAACCGGTCTTGATTCAGGGTTCCGTTAGTGGCTCTTTAGGTTTTGTACTAGTAGATGCGTATTTAAGGCGCTAGGGCTAGGAGCAGCAACAGCTAATCCTGGGATGTCATTTAGTAGTCATCGTCGGAGTCGTAGTAGTAGTAGTAGTAGTAGTAGTAGTAGTAGTAGTAGTGATAGTAGTAGTAGTATATAGTATAGTCGTAGTAGTAGTAGTAGTAGTAGTAGTAGTAGTAGTAGCAGTAGCAGTAGCAGTAGCAGTAGCAGAAGCAGTAGGAGTAGGAGCAGTAGGAGTAG